TTGCCACAATCACATTTCCAAGCACATGACAGTCAGTGATGCAATACAGGTGAAATTGTTGGACTCTGTAATGAGCTCAAAGTTAAACGTCAGTGAAACACAGATTAGAAAGTGAACTAACGGTCCACTTATCCAGCGGATGTTGTGTTGTGAACTGGTAAAACTGCCAGGCTTCAAGTCTGGTTTTTAAATCAGAGAGGTAGAGAGGTATGGTTCATCCAAAATAACATCCTGCTGCTGTATGCACTGATTGTTTTTAAGAGTTCTGTAACGAGACAAGTGAAAATCACGGTTAATCAGTTGAAGAAGCAAAGGTGACCTGTATAAGCCTACCCTCTTCTTTTGAGAAATCAATTATTTAACAATATTTGCAATTGTACTTTTCTGAAAAAGAGTTACACCAACTCTTCATGCCTTTATGTGTTTTGATGACAAAATAGTGATCCCTTTCGTAGAGGAATGGTCATTAAAAGGATTTTATTTTTCATTCATCTTGATTCCATTCGTAACTAGACACCCTTGTACATATGCACTGTTTAATTCCGGGCAGTACTGCGACTCTTTTGAACCTGTAAATTGTTCACTTTCTAGTGGATCTTACTTCAGGATTAGATAATATTGCATATTCACACTAAAATACCAGTTATCTACCAAAATACTTTTTACAAGCGAAGTGTAACTTAAATTCTTCTTTGGTAGTTTCCATTCTTCTTTCGCAATTAGCTGTCTTTCATCAAAGTTTGCGTTTTCTCTAAGGGGCAGATTTTTGTCTTTCATCTTGTTATCTTTGCCGATCTCTCAGCGTAGCGTTTCTCATTCCGTAGCCTGCGAGAAAGGTTAAAAAAAAAACTGTAGAAACTGTGTTGTTGATTTACCCTCATTTAACATCGAAGAATTTCGCCGGGTTTCATACCTTTTCGCCTAGGTTCTCTCCTCTCTTTTTGATTTGTAAGTGCTCCAAGCAATTCCCATCTTAATTCTCCGCTTCTTTACTGCTAATATACTGAGAGCTTTAGAAAGTCTTCTGCTCAACACAATTTGTTTTCTCTGATTGAACATTTTTTTTTCCATTGTGACAAATCAAAGGAATAAGTGCGCGCGATGGATTGTCAGGAACTGGAAAAACATTTTTTTCTAGATTAGTTCCTTTGTTTATGGAAAAGGCGATAGCGCGTTTGAAAAAATTGTCTCAATATTTCTGTAAATTAGGACTTTCATGAAAACAAGGAATTTCTAAATCTTCCTCTCCTCTCCCTGAGAGGAACAACATTTGGATCCATTTAAAACAACATTTGAATCCAAACCATGTCATTCGTGATGGAGCGGGCGTTTTCCTTTTAAGTGCTCAGTCAAAAGCTCACACAGAAACGTTCACAGAGCGCTGAGGTCTCCTGCTCGTTACATTCTTAGACCAAATCCAAGACGGCAGACCTTGAGGTGACAGCTAGTGAAAGACCTGGTCAGTAACTCGAAGTCTGTTCTAAGGCGGATTGTAAAAATTATTTAAAACGACCTGAGGAAAACTTTGTGGTAAAATGAAGAACGTTCGTCGAGATGAGATCACAGGGAGCACATAAAGAGTTGAATAAATGAACGAAATATAATTTGAATTTACATTTTTTGTGTGTATGTATTTTCATGCCGGGACGTGACAGAACTGCACTCGTGTATTGTGCTGCGAGCGGATTTGAAATTTTATGAAATTCTTCTGTCGGTTCTTCATCTATGGTGTGCTCGTCGTGACCAGAGTTTGGCGCATAATGAAAATAAAAGAAGTTCGACAAATTTACTGTTCACATGTAAACATCCGCAAGCGCGGGGAAATAATGATTTACTTAGGTTTCGCTCCTGATTGGCTGGAAAACAATATGTTTGCCGTGATTGGCTAGTTGCGACCTGGTTTTGATGTGATTGTTTCACGGAGCAATGAATCAATTGTGCAAACTACAGGAAATTAAATAATTATTTCAAAAGATTATTTACCCTTTCTGAGCTTGAAATATTAATCGCGGTCTTCATTTAAGTTATACGCGATTTTCGGCAACAAACATGTCACTTTTATTTTTACTTGCTTCGAAGCTCATAACATTATCCTCTGTATTTTACTTTATAGGGTGAATGGTGTAAAAAGTCTCGTTTTCAAATGCTACTCGATGCGGATTCTAACCTATGGTACGAGTGTGTGGTAAAACTCGACCAAGGAGCCGAGGGACGAGAAGGAGCATTGCTTTGTTACTACGAGAAAAACTCTGTTTACGAAGAAATGCGGATTGCTTTGCGGGACATAATATGCGTTTGTGTAATTCACAAAATGTCGCGGAATCACTGTTTTGCCATTCATACTCCTCTACGAACTCAGGAACGAAACCCTCTGGTGATCCACACAGGTAGTGAAAAGGACCTTAATGACTGGCTCACGTCAATGTCAAGGGCTATTTCACGGGTACATGACTGCGAGGGGTCCGCTTCATCGAGAGCGATCTGGGCGACATCTCTCTGTGGTGACGTTTTCTTTTGCGAGCCGCCTGTACTAGAAAGTGAGATGCAGCCAACTCAACTCTTTTGGCGCCAGATTGGCGGGCACATGCATAAAGTGGAAGGAGGAATGTCGGGAGTGGTGTGGGCGGTCGGTTTCGACGGGATGCCATATTATTACTCTGGCGGGTACGGCGGGGGTATTTTTACCGGTTTTGACAGTAGCGTCTCTGGGATTCATCAGCAGGAGGATTATGATTGGCATTATATTTATGAGAATCAACGCTGGAATCCATTAGAAGGATACTCTGATAGGTGAGTGAATGAATAATTGCTAGATTGAATCCGCGTACTGTTTTAAGTACAGTTTGTGTATTAGTATCAAATCACGTTCCCTTTGACATGCGTGTTCAGTCATTTACTGTCGGCTATCTCAAACTCCCGCTATATCGAACATTTTCCTTCCCCTGAAGAGTCCTACTGGACACCCTCTATAAACTCCTCAGTACAGATGTACACCAACCACACACCCTCATTCTGAGTGATATCTTGTTGGCGACCATTGCAGACGCTTACCAAGTGACCGATGGAACTGGAGCGATGAGAGCGGAGTTTATGAACGAACAAGAGAAGGATATGCTCTTCCATCCAGTCAGTGGCAGTGGGCAGATGAACAATGGACAGTGGAGACTAAGCCTAACATAACTGACAAGGATGGCTGGCAGTATGCTGTGGATTTTCCAAGGTTTGAGTTTATCAGTAGTCTGAAATGTCACGCATCTCCCGCCCTCATCCTAATTCCCGGGCGAGAGACGGCTTCCCTCTCCCGGGAATTAGGTTGAGGGTGGGCGAGCGGGAGATGACTGACATTTTAGGCTAGGTTTATCAGTTGATGCACCATGTGATCGGGTTTGGATAACTCATGGCAAGCCAACAAAAAGTTTTTGTTGGTTTGCCATTTCATAAACGTTAACTATTTAGTTTCAATGTGCTGCATGCTTATTCGGTTTTTTGGCTAACTGAGGGGTCAATGAATTAGAAAACGAACACAAACACATGTAAAACTTGTCAAATATTCGCTAGGAAGAGAAAGTGAGATGTTTCTACTGCAAGGTATTCGCCAAATATTAGAGGGTTTGTGTCACTGGTAAATGACATGAGAGAGAAATGGACTTATATTAAAATAAGTCCACATTCACATTTCTGTCCTGTTTTCTCAGGAATCTGGATCCTGTTCCAAGCTCTCGCCGGTTAGTGGGGACGATCGGAAATGCGAGTGCCGGGGTGAGAGAGAAACGAGACCCCACCTTTTTTGCTTTCGCCCCCCTGCTTTTTCCATCGTCCCCACGAACTGAGAGCCTGGAACAGGCTAAGGAATCTGTGTCATGTGCTGAAGTTTACTGCCTTGCCTTGTAGATGGAAATGAAAGTCATGCAAGTGCCCCTGAACAAATATTAAAAGCACTCAAAACTTCGACTCCACACGTTGTGATGAACACCCAAATGTCTTTGTTCGTTGCCATTGTTTAATATCAAGTAATTCTATTTTGCAGAAGTTATCACCGTGAGCGAGGCTGGAATGACTATGTGAGGCGAAGACGGTGGAAAAGGTTGGATTTCATTTGTGTGTTTACTTTACATGCTTACTCAGTTAACAGATCAGACTAAAAAGATCTCGAACTTAACACATGTAAATGACACCGTATGTACTTTTATCGATCTTTTTGTGGCATGGAGTATAGTAATGATCAAGTATCATGGGTTGTAATCAAAGTGTTAGATTAGGGTTCGAACTCATTCGGCGACTGATGTTGCCATCTAGTCGGGCACATTTTATTCAATCAAGAGAGGATGATTTAAGAGAACACAGCTCCCACGAGCCTCTTCCATTCACAACTGTTCTTTTTTTATTTAATTTTATTTAAGGGGAAGGGGGAGGTCCTTGTTAACTACCGATTGGTCATTAATTTGTTGCTAAGGAAGGTTTCTAACCGTCATATTTTGAAAACCAAAGCCCCACAGGGTAAGGTCTTTGCACAGGTTCGTTCCATTGAAGAGTGCTGGGCTCCTTCTTTGATTCAGTAAAAATAACTAGTTTGCCGTGATGGGCGAAAGCAAAAGTGAAAAAATTCATCTTTGACTTTCCGATTCCTCGTGCGCAGTGAAATCTGCAAGCAGGACATTTGTTCCGTTATTTTTCGATTACTTAACCCTGACAGGACCAAATAATTTTTTTCTCTTAAGACGTTGTAAACTGACAACAACTGGTCCATGGATTCAAGTGACACCTCAAGTGAGACTGCGTGACGTATCGATTCAAATCGATTTACTTGACGGCTTGATAGCGGTGTGGGCTGTGGGGACAAAAGGTGATGTCCTATACCGACATGGTGTCACAGGAGATTGCCCACAGGTAAATAAAAACTTGTACTATTCTAGATATGAGACTTACGCTTTGTTCAGTTGTTCAAGCCAGCGGATTTGGATGGAGTTGTTACTCATGTATACTGATGGTGGCGACCTGTTATGATCAATCTCATTTCTGACTAGCTTGTTATCATTGCAAATTCTTATTGCTAATTGCTTATTTTTTCCGAGTGCGTGAGCGTAAATTTAGTTGTGAGATTTTGTTTGTTTGTTTGTAGCTCGGCGCTGTGATGGCGCGTAATCTTAAGTTTCTGTCGCCGTACAAAATGAGTCAATGTCTATAGGATTGCTCCCCATATAAGCCTGATTCCTGAAGTTGCCCCTTTCATGTTTATGCCTTATTCCCTCTCTTATTATTCCCTCTCAAGTTATTTTTAGACATAGTACCTACCTTATTGGTACTTAATTTCGCGGGTACTTGATTTCGCGAATTTGGCGAGACAGTATTTCGCGGGGTTTTATTTTCGCGATTTCAATAGGCAAATATGGAAAAAGGGCATCAAGTTTCGCGATTCAAGCGTTCTCAACTTCATTTTATTCTAAGGGATTTGCACGAATCTAGCGATTCAGATGAAGACGATAGCTAGATTCTCTACTCCATCTTTGCAAATTGACGCTATTTCACAACAGAAGGTACAGAATGGAACTTACCAGTAAAACCAGTTTATAGTTTGCGTATTTGTCGATACATATCTTGTATATGTTGTTGTTAGTACACGTTAATCATTTGTTCTTCTTTGATTTGAATTCGCTGTATGGGTGTTAAATTTCGCGATTTGTTTACAATCGCGAAAATCGCGGAATTAAAGACCCGCGAAATGAAGTAGCAATAAGGTAGTTCTTCTGTGGANTTTGAGGGTGATGTGTGAGAAAACACTTCCGATGTAAATCGCGCCGCTCCGATAATTCACGCGCGGAAGCTAACCAGTTTAAGCGAAGCAGTGTTTCTGGGTATTTCTTTTAATATCACTGCGACAATAACTTTTTAGAAAATTTCAAAGATATGATTGTATTCTATAACTATTAAGCTTTCAGAAAATGTATAGGTTGATGGGGTTTTCTTTCAAAGCGCCAGCGTAAGAGCGCGATTTCCAAACACTGTCAATCCACCTACCATGATACCTTAATATGTTGTTTTGTGGAAGGTGGCAAAGATATGCATTAAAATGTAAAACGCTCGTGCAGAGCCATTGTCTCTGAAAAACGATAATTGAGAAAAGTAAGATATGCATCATGCCTCAATAAGTCTTTTTTTTTCTTTAATGTGAAACTAGTGGCGGTGATCCAACTGCAGGTGGATTTATTAATTCCTGATGTGTCGCAAATGATCTTAAGTTTTCAGTTTGATAAATTCATGTTGGGCTGTCCAGAGTAGTGTTATTATATGAGATGATGTTTGATAAATTTTGTACAACCATTTTTTTTTTTCTTTTTACGGCATTCAGTTCTATTTAAATGTTCCAATATCATTATGTATACCACGTACGCAAGGGAAAAGAGATATTTACCCTTAAAACACTAAATACAACCATGTTTTTTAATGGAAACTCCGGTCTTTTGAAACTAGAAATCGCAAAAATGCTACCAATGTAATTTATCTAACATATGTTGTAACTACTAGACAATGTAAGAATTAATTAGAAAAGACGAGAAGAGTTGGTGAAAACAAGTATAGGATTTGAGTGAAAAGATCTTCTGTCTGTTTTGTAGTCAGGAGGATTATCACAGACTCTTTTTAAAAGCGTTGCTTGTGGACGCTGCGATATAGAACAGTTAATTTGGCTTCCAGCTGGCAAAACGTAGTCCCACTGGTGGCTGTTTAGGTTCCCATGTCAAGGTCGGAAAAGAAACACAAAATTCGTTGTCGAATTTTTTTCCTATAAATATGTGCAGTTTAGGGATTTTGTTGTTTTATTTTTGTAGAGAATTGCGAAGATATGTGCAAAGATGGATAAGGCTTCTGCAGAGCCATCCTACTATTCAATAAAACGTTTGTTTAGCAACGCTCCCGTTTCTGTTGTGGTCCATTTAAGCTTCCTGTTGCACGGAATTAAATAACGAAACCAATCTTGCTTAAAGATGATCATTGATTCCGGCGCCAGTTTTTGTTCCATTCAATAGCTTGAGGCTGAAACAACTACATGCAGAAACACAGAAAGCAGCCAAGCCGGCTTCTCTTTAGTTCATTTTACGCCGTAGGCCAAAAAACTGGTGGTTTTGGCAAGATTAAGCAAATGAGAACACGAGAAGTGAAAACTTTATGTTGTGTTTTTTAACGCGATGTTGTTTTGTTTGAAAAATGAGCATACAGTGCATGTCGCGCGGTAGCAATTTTCTTCTTTCTTGATTCATGATATTTTGGTGTCCGAAACAACTTGTTCCTTTATTAAGGTGTTTTGCGTGTTTGTCGCTGAAAATCATAAGTAATTTACATTACAATTTGCTATACAAGCATTGTAAAAGTAATTGAGGCAAAGTTTGATGTCACTACATTGATAACAACGCTTCACAAACAATCAAAGCGACTATGATTGCACTGCCAGTTTAAAACGTACAGATGTCAGTATTTAGTGGAACAATACAACTTTCAACAGAGTCGTATAAAATTGGAGGATACTTGCTGGTAGTGGCTGTCTGGAAGTGATAAGTCGGTGTCTTCACCGTCTATTTGACTGGAAGTTTGATAAGTAATGGAGACCAACTCGACATCTGAGGGCATCGAACAATCGTTTCACGCAACGCAGTGTCCTGATTTGGAAGAAATTTCGAAGCGATCCTTATTCTTCGTTGCCTCTCTCGTTTTACTATCTGGTGTCAATGGCGTGTTACTTTTCGTTGCGGTGCTTGGAAATGCAGTGATCTTGTGGGTTCTTCGTGGAGTGTCCTCTATTCATCCTCCATCGCGAACACTCTTGTACTCTCTGGCAACCAGCGATATCTGTGTTGGTTTTATTGTGCAGCCATTCAACCTGATCTACATGATATCCACGGCAAAGGGCCAAGCCGCGCTTTGCTCGAGCGCGCTGCCGTATTGGGATGTGATTGGGTTTGCAATGTCCGGGATTTCTCTTTTAACCACCTCTGAGATCAGCGTCGATCGCTTGCTAGCGCTCCGTTTGAAGCTCAGGTACAGAGAGGTCGTTTCTCTTGGGCGCACGCGCTTGGTTGTCTTAATGACATGGCTAGTAAGTTTCGCGGCTGGATCAGCAAGTCTGTGGAACCGAGAAACTTTCACTATCCTACAAATAATTGGAGTGTTCCTCAGCATCGCTGTTTCATCATTCAGCTACACGACAATCCACATTCTTCTTCACCAGCGAGAGAAACGACGGCAAGAAAGACAAATCGCTTGGGATCAACCGAGTCAGAGCGTCAACGAAGCGAGCACGTCAGCGTTCAGCACTCGGCGATATAAGAGTACAGTATCTACTGCATTGTGGGTTTACTGTGTTTTACTCATGTGTTCTTTACCGTACATGATTGTGGCCGCACTTTGGGCGGTTTACGGCAGCAGTGAAGCGATTCTTATCGCTCACGCTTACGCTATAACACTGCTGTATTTTAACTCTGTGCTAAACCCGATTTTGTATTGTTGGAAGATTAGACAGGTCAGACAAGCTGTCAGGGAAGTTTTTAGTTGGGTTTGCTGCCAATAATATTAAAACGAGTTCTAGGTAAGGCCTCCGGAAAGGAGAGAGGAACCGATGTCATGTTTTATTGCGGTTTACTAATATTGAACTGCTCTCTTTCCAACAACATTTTTTGGTTCATTGTAGCGATGAGCTGGTTGTTAACAGCAGAAAATACTGGAAACTTGGGTGATGTTATAGCCAGCGATTGAAAGTTTTAACTTTGGAATCGTTCTCCTTCTGCGAACGGAAACATTTGCCCATTGTAGAAATTACCCGTCTACCCGTCCAGCGCCAACTCTACTACTTTTTCATCGGTAATTTCGCTGTGTGATAAAGAATAGTTTATGTTTCGTTCTAAATATGAAAGATGAGAGTTTCGCACTAAACTAAGTTTGTCGTATTTCCACAATTTTACAGTTGCTGAAAGTTTTGAAATCCTTACAGGAGGCACTGTATTAATGGGTTTTCTAAATAATCAAAAATCTGGCGAAAGGTTTGTGTCATTTCCATTTTCAGTCTGGGGAACAAAAGAAATACTTCATTTGTACTGAGCGTTATTGACTTAGCACTTGCTGGGCCTTATGATTTTTTTTTTATACGTGACGTCTAAACGTCTAAAGGTTAGAAAAATTAAGCAGAGTATAATATAGAAAAATAAGGTCCGTTCAGTTTCCTTCTGTGAAGAAAATTCAGTCCCTTTGTCAAATTAGTAGTGTTTGTTTATTAAGAAAAGACAGGTTCTTTTGTACAATATGAAATCCCTTTTTAAGCAAGATATGTTTTACTATTATAGATATTGTGGCCTTTTATCTCTTGTTTACTCATTGTTGAGAATTAAATGGTGTGCGCTATTAGTGTTATAACAACATTAATATGAAAAGACTATTCATATTCCTAGTTCTATCTCGTTAAGTCCGTATGTTTTCGACTTATTGTCATCATCACCTGATAGTTATTATCACCTGATGATGACATTAAGTCGAAAACGTTCGGTTTGATAATAATGTTCTTTCTAGTTTTTAGCGTTGTAAATACATATAATTTTTTTCTTTCAGCGAATATTATGTCTCATTGTTGAACATTGTTGAGATGAAAATAAAGCGCCTTATTAGAACTGTGGTATCTTCAGTAAAATTATTGTCCCAGACAAGTATTTTATGTTTTTGCATTTGTTTGGCTGCTCCTCTGTGGGAACCTGGGTCCCACAGTATGACTCAAGTAAGGGAGATATGACGAAAGCCTTACAAATGCCCAGGTGAATTGTCCCACACATATCACCAAGGTGTACAATTTAATCAGCATACAGAACATCTCTTTCGTAAACGTATCTGTTGTGTCAGACTTTGCAAAATAAATGCGCAAGCTTTGCACTTGTAGGGAAACACGCCCTCCCCCCTATCCCCGCCTCCTTTCACTGATTTTGCTAAAATAAATTCTGGTCGGCTCTTCCCCTATGCGAATATTTTTAATAATTATTTATGTCATTCGCGATGAGTTATAAGTAAGTAAGTTGTCACTAATAATTTCTGGTTGTGTCGTATTTGTGGTAGGGCACAGCGTGGGAGCACATTTTAACAGATCTGCCTTTTATCAGTATCTCTGTTGGATCTAAGAGAAGGGTCTGGGGAATAGCTGAGAATGGCACCGCCTATTTCAGGGCAGGATTTGGAGAAAAGCAGATCACAGGTACACATTTATGGCGATCAACAATTAAAGTCTCCTTACAATATCAACACAGTGCTAAGGCGATCTCCGAAAAAATTAGGTACGGGATATTGTCTTGTTGTATCACCAAATTTTCAGAAATAAAGTGAAAATGTATGGAATCAAATAAATTTAATATTTTCCAATAGCTAATGTGATCGTCCGAAGAGCGGGTAGCTGTGAAGAGAACTGTTGTTGGCGATTGACGTTTCGATGATTTGAGTGGAAGTCATTTTCAGGGTCAAGTGAATAGTGTTTGTCAATTATTTTTTTCACTTGAGTTGCTGAATTTCCAACAGTCGTCTTTGAATGAACAAATTACTTAACGTATTAACACAATTTCTTGAATGAGTGTTAGCTTGTGAAAATTTAATTCTCTAAATTTTGAACGTCGATCAGTCCTATAAATCCTATGAGTGATATTGGAGGATGGCGTAATCACATCATGGTCGTCTTTTTGCTGGCAGAGTACCATTCACAGTGATGTTTCAAGTTCCTCTACTGTAGGCATGGAATTTTGTGTCCACGTTTTATCTAGAGGAGCGTACCAAATAAAATGATTATGTAAGCTAGTGGCCTTTTCGGAGATAATGCTCTTGCTAACGCCCCCTTTTAACCTCAAACTTGTTGCAGATATATCGATGATGTTTTCATGATAAAGACAGAAGGATAAGAAAAATGGAAAGTATTTTCCGATAAGCTAACCGGCTCACGCTCTTCTATCTTATGTGTCCATCCGTAGGACATGTTCCAGCCATCTCCACAAAGAGATGACTGCCAAAAAAGAGTCTGTTGTTTAAAACTGGTTGGCAAATTTAAATAAGAAAACCTATGTTTGTCAATGATATCTTCTCCATTTGGCGATCCTTGCTGACGTTATTGTTTACATTTTGCTTCATTAACATACGAATTTCCGTACAAAAGGCATCTTGTTAGATACGAATTGACTCCAAACATTTAATTCAAGAACTCTTGTACATGGTGAACGTTTTAGCTCTTTGTAGACGACATTGATGGAGATTAAGTGGCAAAAGCGCTAATGAACCCGTAAATTCGTTACTAAATTTTGAGTTTTTAACACCCGTGGCACAGAAAGTATTCAATACATCGTTTTCGAATTCTTTGGCACAGTTACTCCTGCTGTGACCTATCAATTTTCAGAACTGATATTTTTGTAGTTTGATCAGAAGTTGGATCGCTTATGCTAATGAGTCAAATATTGTAAAAGAATATTGCCCATAAGCCGCATTTAATTTGAAACGCTCCTCTAGATGAACTTGGACACAAAATTGCATTCTCTGGAGCTTCAGGTGTAATGCCATCATCCCCAACATCTCTGAAAAGTTTTAGAGGAATCGATGTTCAAAATTCAGAGAATTCACCTAACAAAGTCTGAATTGATTATGAGTAAGGGAAATGCGCGATCTTAGGTTCACAGTGTAAAAGATTTGCTGTACTGAATACAAATTATATTTCACAGACTCCGTTCGAAATATATGAGACAACAAA